TCACCTATAGTAGGAAACATATTGGTTGTCAATCATCATTTGATATTTATCATAATATAAAAATTGATATAAAAAGAAGGTTTAAATTATCTTTCATCTATTTGTTCTCATGGATAAAGAGAGATGGTTTGGACTTGTCTTCCCTTTGTCGTCCATATAGATAAAACATCAAAAAAGAATATTGAGATAATTATAAATTATTCTTTTCGTAAATCAGATATAAAAGCTAATCGTCGATGTTGTACCGAAGGATTCTTTTGGAGAAAATCTCATACTCTAGAAAGGACATCGAACTAATTTGAACGTTGAGGGAATCAGATCGAGAAATTTTTTTCGAGATCGAACTTAGTGTAGGTGATACCTCAGAAGCTCGACCCTTCACCTTGGAGCCACTCCAGATCTACCTCAAAGCTACTCAGGATATTCATACATCTTAGGATTTAGATCACGTTGAGTTAACTCGCTTAGCTTGATTATGATGTGATGTGAATGCGGTGAAACTCCTTTTCCTATTTTAGGTGGAAGGGGAATGTTATCTTTCAAGTCCTTTGAGGACCCCTTCCGAGCATATCCTCATCCAATTTGGTCTCCCACAAATGCCAAACGTGTGTGGGACTCAATGAGATGTTAATGTGAGCAACTCAACACATCTTCCCGTTGACGGTAGGTAGTCACGTATGGAACCCATAGATGACACGGATGTGAGGCTTTGGTATCAAAATGAGAGGTCGACAAATCATGTGGACTTCACGCTACCAAACAACGGAGAGGATAATAGCCTCTTGTGTTTACTCTCTTGTCATCAGTCCCACACATCAATCATTGTAAATAATCATATCTAAAATGAACAAGAATGATCGTACTATCATCTGTCAAACTCTTTATTACTTAAGCTAATTAATATATGAAAATATTTATCAGACAAGTGTTAATTTGAACTCTCAACTTTGATAACTAGATTTAGTGTATTAATATCAAACTAATATTTTTTGCGTAAAATTTTACGTTTCAAGTCCTCAACTTTGATACATGGATTTAATACACCTATATGAGTTTTTAGTCTTTTGTAAATGAATTTGGTAAACCATTATCAAACTAGCATGTTAGGTATAAAATTTATTTGAGAATGATCTGTTAGCATTAAATTTATCATCATGTTATCTGTAATACGAAAAAAATTTTTATGTTAAGATTAAAATCAAATAAATTGGATCTAATAATATTTCGATGCGAAAATAGAGGGTCTAGAATAAGTTACTAAGAGAGTTCCTCTTATCAAGGTTATCTCCTAAGAATCTTGTTTTAACATAGACTAATTTTCTATTGACCAATAACCAGAATCCAATCATATCTATAATATATTTTTAATTAATTAAATATGAACACATAATAACTACATCATATATAATAAATAAATATCAATATAATTTTAGAATTTTAATAATTAGAATTCTAGATTAACTTTGATATTTACAAATATATATAGTCATCTCTATACAAGGATCACCTTTGATTGTGTAGGCGAGTGATGAACAACTTGCTGTTTGAGAACCCCATCTAGTCCGATATTATCAAAGAGTTTTATGATGTGAAGATGATTGATATTCTATACTACTTGTAGGTGAAATAATCTAAAACACATTATGTTTTTTTATCGTATGAGCGAGTGACAATCGAGAAGCGAAATCATGGTGATATTCAAGAGCTTAATCCAACCCTGTACCGACCGAGTATATATATATATTCATGAAACTAAACTCCTTTCGTGATTTCTTATCTCTCCTATCTCTTCTCGCATTCGATGCTTTTGGATTGAGATACCCTTAAATCAATAAATAAATAAATAAATAAAATATCGGAGACAGAGCAGTGGAATCTGTGGGTGAAATGGAGAGCTCGGAATAGGATCTGGTGTTTGGACCCACAAATGTGTCTTCTTCCTTCGGATGGGGACCCATTCGCAGGGGAAAACTGTATTAATCCGGCGAGACCGACGCGGTCTTTTGGAAGCTCTATGGACGAGTGGGGAGCGCATTTGCTGTACCGACGGAGTCGTCCTATACGCGCGCGGTTTCTTAATGCGGCAGACAAGTTGAGAGCAAATAGCTCGACGTCCTTCGCTGTGTTTGCAGAGCGTTGATGATGCGTAGGGCCACGCCCGCGGTAGCCTCCAAACTCTTCTTTTGTCGCCACTCCACAACCCAAGCAAGGAACTAAGAAGAACGCCACACATGCAACCTAGATCTTACAGTACCACCACTGCACCTGTGTGCAAAGCCTGTGATCCGTCCATGATTCAACATGCATGATCTTAGAATGATGTGATGCACTGATGTAGATGCATCGCTCCACACACTCATTTATCCCACTGCTTGCTGTTGCTTGGCGATGCCGCTAAGGATAACTCCACAAGCTCTCCCCCTCCGAGGCCTCCGGCGAGTCCTCCTCGCACCCCTGAGGGCTCAGCCTTGGTGGGCTTATCAGCATCCCCTCCGCCATGTTCACCAGCAGCTGCGGCATGTCAAATATCTCCTCCTCGTCTACGTATCTTCCTAGCTGCTGCTGCGAGGCGGCGGCCGCTTCGGCGGCCGCCACGCGGATGTGGGACGGGGAGGGCGAGGCCGGCGCGGGACGGGACGCGATGTCGTCGGGGAAGTTCAGCACGGCGTCGGCGCCACGCAGCGCGCTCGCCGCGACGTCGTAGGCCACCGCCGCCATCTCGGCGGTGGGGTACGTGCCTAGCCAGATGCGGCTGGCCTTGCGCGGCTCGCGGATCTCCGACACCCACTTGCCGCTCCTGTAACGGATGCCGCGGTAGCTCGGGTGCTTCCCGGAGGCCGCCCTCTCCGTCCTCGTGTGCGTCTCGCTCCGCTGCGCTGCATTGCCTCCTCCCTGGTCATAAGGAGGTGGCCGAAGCGGCATCGGCCGGCCGCCAACGTGTGAATCACGGTGCATGTCCGAGCCCCGGTCAGCCATGCACCTGCACGAAGAAAAACAAACAAGGAAAGAGAAAGAAGAGCGACAAAACAACCCTAGGCTACCAAAGCCATGGTGGTTCACATGATCATGTCGTTTGATGTGCGTTGTTCTGGTCGTTGGACAGCAAACGCGATGGTGGGTGGAACAAAGGGGAGAGATAGGAGAGGAGAAGGATGCGATGAACGCATTTAAGCTGTTGGAGGAAAGAGAAATGATAGCTAGCAGGCATCCAAGAACATTGAATAGGGTTAACTGACCAAGCCACAATGGATGGTGAGCAGGTCAAGTTGCCTTCCTTCATTTGCTAGTGGGTGAATCTTTTAATTGTTGGGAGCTCAAGAGGGCACAAGTCTTTGACCCACAAGCGTAGTGATCTCTGCAACTTTGGTTTGCTCCACATGCTTCTTGGGACATCACAATCATGGAAAAGCATCAAAGGTAAAATTACATGTAATATATGTTCTTCTGAAGTTAGTGATTTTTTTTTTTGTATTTATCTCTCTAAATTTAAGTTCAACATATATATTACTGCGCAAATACTTTTATGATAATAATAAAAATACTAAAAGTGCTTTAGGCTGTTTATATTATGTATATGTTTAACTTAAGCTTGTTGATAATCATATGCATAGTTAATCTGAGTTTTTAGATTGATATTACAGTAAGGAGTATATGTAAATGGTATACTAAAATTTATAAGGACCAAAGCATTGTTTCCAAACTTCATAAAGATATGCAAGAAATCCCCATCAAAAATAGTGCTTCAAATCAGTTAAATTTTTTTCTTTTAATTTGTATCATAGCCTTTTAATCTTTGTTTAATTTAGAACATACATGATGAGCTTTTTGTTCATGATAATTGTAATTTTCTTAATGAAATTTCCAGCAAATATTTGTGTGTCATCATGTGATAGAGTATAACTTAAGCCACCACTCCTTAGATGTTACGAGTTGAGTCACAACAGAGGAAGAAGATGTAGTACTGTAGATTGATTGGACGCTTCCAAAACCATGTCACGAGACACGAAGGCCAGCGACGGACATCAACCCGACATCCAAAGATGAAGTCGAGAGACACGACAGGAACAGCCGCAGATGAAATAGCTTGGTGTGTTAGGGCTAAGTGTGCGTTTGCGGTCGATCGAGAAGACTGCCTCCTCTTCTTCTTCTTCGACTCCTCCCCATCATCCATCTGCAACTCCATGTGAGAGCAGCGAAGTCGAGTGAGATCAGAGAAGGCTCATTTTGATCCAAAACATGATACTGTCAACTCAAAGGTGCTTGTAGCGACGAAGATGACTGCCGTCTGTTGAGAGCATGGAGAGGTGAGAGAGAAGGCACGTCACTCGTCTGCTCGTTGATGTAGCCATAAGCTGTCTGTCAGACAGAGACGTAGGGCATGATGTTACAGATTGCAAGCTTGACGTGAGAGCATAATGCAAAAAGTGAGTGGATTTCGGCGACTTGTCGGGCACAAACTTATCATGTTGGTGGTGATGTTCTTGCCAAGGCTGAAACCAGCTTCATCTGGTATTACATTATTTATGACGCAAGATAGACATTTTCCTTTTATTATCATATCATGTCTTTTATTTGTTACTGATGGCCAGTTTCTGAATTGGAAATCCCAGTAAAATAAAGCAAAGGAAAACATATGGTGAAGAGTAGGATGCAACAGCCGTCAACGCGTGCTACGATTGACTTCCTAAGTTCCATCACATCGGTGACTCCACGATTCGCAGTGGTATAACCACGCGTATTACGCGAATCTACGGCCGAGTAGTGCAACCTTCCTTCGGCAATTTCCATGAAAGAAAAGCGGCGGAAGGAAGGAAGAGGGCATTTATTATCGATGTGATGTCCTCTACGGCACACGAGTCAGCAAACACCACTTGTCCTCACCGTTGACACCTCGGAAATCCCTAACCATATATTCTACTTACTGACACACCAGAGAGAGAGAGAGAGAGAGATATATATATATATATATATATATATATATATATATATATATATATATATATATATCTCACGTGACGATACTTCCCTTCCACGTGCTCCCACTGTGGCGCAACCCCATCTTTCGTTACGCGTTCGCGCCTTCATGTTTCGTCACGCGTCCGGCACGGATCGCGACGCAGCGCTCCCGTGTTCTCTGCGGTTCCGCTTAAACCCGATCGACACGCCGAAGATCCTCGTGGTGCCTTCCCCGCCGGAACTCCCCTCCGCCGCCTCCTCCTCCTCCTCCTCCTCCTCCTCCGCCGTTGGCGACGACCTCGCCATGAACATCTCCAGCGGCGTGGTGGTCAACGACCCTCCCCCGATGTCCAAGGCTTCCACCGCCGGGCCGAACTGGCGGCCCGGGGCGTACTTGGCTATCAGCTGCATGATGTTGTTGCACATGCCCTTCATCTGGCCGAGCTCCTGCGACAGCTGCTTGTTCTCCCGCCGCAGGCGGCTGTTCTCCTCCGCGAGGTCCGAGGTCCCGCCGCTGGTCCCTGGTGCAGCCCACCCAGACGTCACCGGAGCCGGCTGCACACAGCCCGGGGAGGATGTCGAGGAAAGGCCCTGCTCTTCGTTGGAATTGACCGGTGAGACTACCAGATTCGGAGGGGCGGACACCGCCGGGGCTGGCGTCGGCGAGAACTTTCGGCGGTGGATGTCGCAGAGGAGCCCCTTCTCGCCGCGGCGGAAGCAGTCGTTGGCGAATTCCCATCGATCCGGTACGATCTTCCGAAACCCCTGCGAAACTCAAACCCAAAATTCCAAGAAGAAAAGGAACTCAAAAGACGGGATCGATCGAACCGTAGCAAAAGCACGGATCGTCGGAGGGTGGCGAACGCACGTAGGTGTTGAGCTGGCGGACGAAGCTGGAGAAGTTGTTGTGTTTGAAGAACTTGGGGAGGACGTCGCGGGCGAACTCTGCCGGCCGCCAGACGACGAAGGTCGACCCGTCCTCGTTCCACGAGATCACGTCGTCCATGGCGGGGTCGTCCACCAGCTGATACGTCTTGGTGAGGAACGGCGTGGGCATCACCCGCTGTCCCTCGTACGACGGCGGCGGCGGATGAAGCGGGGCCTCCTGCTCCGTCCCCTCGGTCGGCTGCGATGTTTTTGCAGGGTGACCCATTGGATGCCCCAGAACCTTTTCGGTATCCAAAATATTCTAGAAGTTTCGCTGATGGTGTGTGTCTTCATTTATAAACCACAAGGGGGGAAGAACCAGGAATGGCGGTGAGATCAAAAGAGAAGAAACGGAAAGAAAACCCCAGAAGCCGAGCTTCCAGAAGCTTCCCGGGAGGGTATTGTCGCAAACCGATGTGTGTCGGTCAACTTTTCGGTTGGAAAGCGTGCTCAGTGTACTGCACACCGCTCCCCGCAAAATAATATCAGGCATCGGAGGTTGCGACCAGATCCATTCCGAAGCCGAAGCTTCAGAGTGCCATCCAGCTTCCACGCACGAAGTAAGACGTACACGTGGCTCGTACCAAACCGACAATGCAAGCGTTCTGTTGTCGGTTCCGATGGAGGCCGAATCGAATCAACACTTTTGGAACGGGTTGCAAGAGGTGGTGGGGTTCGAGGGCAGGCGATCTAGAAGTTTCGCTCCTCGGAGACCACCGCTCGGGTGCGCCGCCCTACGGAGGAAACACAAGACCCAGCTCGAAATGTCGCCGTGGCGGGCTGGCAGCCGATCTGGAGATTGATGGACGGTTGCGGATGGTTGTCACTGTCCATCGTTGATTTGTCGTGCGGATGTCGTGGACGTGCACTCCACCTCGCCGAATACAACCCAAGAAAAAGAGACTTGCATTGATGAGATGCATTTGGGAAGAAAATATGATCATATTTTAGTGATACAACGGATAAGATCGTCGTCTAGATTGTGCGGAAACTTGGCTTCAAGTCCTTCTTTTCGCAGCCGATACGAGTTTGACTACGAGTATCGGAGTTTGTTCTTCGTTAAAAGTTGGTGAGTTGGGTAAAAAGTGAATAGATCGCGTCTTACATCATATTTTTAGTTAATAGGACGTGTCAATCATTAAGGTTGAACTTATTAGGACGTGTTCTTTTAGAATGTCGTCAATTAAGGACCTTGAAAGGAACCCCGCAAAGTCTCCTTCCTCCCGCACCAAGAAGTCAACCGAGGTGGTGGTCTCTCTCACGCGCTTTCCTTTACTGGAGAATCCAACTTACTCCGAGAAAGCATGTTGCTGTGTCTCTCCTAATGTTTTCAACGGGAGAAGGCTGACAAGAGGGTCAAAGCGTGCTGGTCGCCTCATGTTTCTGATAGTTACGGAGTCGGTAATGGCAATCGGAACATAATGGCAGTCTAAATCCATTGTATTTTTTTTATTGAGGATAATAATCGTGGAACTTTGACGGACGATGATGGACGATCAAAATGACGCATGACCGCTCACGTGGGTCATCATCACGTGCCGATCCATCGCGACTTCGTGTTCAACGTCGATCGTCCAACAACAAACCCACTCTTCCTCGTGTACGCGGCGGTTGCAACGAACCATCAAACAAGGGCACACCTAAAAGCGAAGCAGCAAGAGTTAGATGAACCCCGGCTCTATAAGAAGGGGGAACAAAGCTCCCATTAATGGCAGTCAAATCCTCCCATTGGCAAGGCCTCTTGCTCAAGTGAGTATTCCATTCGCCGCCTCCCCCGGGCCTCACCAATGAAATACTCACCTGGGCAAGATGCATTCCGTGGAAGGAGGCATGGAGAGCAACTGTCTCAGTTCTCCTTCACTTGCAGACGAGTGTTCGTTTGATTCCCAAGGAACTTTCTTTGGATTCTTGTAACAGAGCAGCGAGCGCTGGAACGAGAGGTATGCAAATTCTACTCGGTCGAGTTCGCATTAATTCCATTTGTACATCACTGCACTTAGTTACTATCCGCTTGACAGAAATTAGCACAGTGTAGCTCTCCGCCCTCTCTGTCATGGCGTTGCTTGATAGGGATTCCATTCGTATCGATCTATACTTTGCAATCATATTGATTCAGTTTATACATCATTCTAGTGCTGCAACTCAAGTGTTTGTTGTTATTCTTCTTAGAGAACTGTTTACTTGCACCGAGCATGTGACTGACGGCTGCACGTCTGATAGCCATCAACTCTCTGATTAGGGGTTGCTTGGTTGATGATATTTCTCGAGCAGAATGAATCCCCAGGTTTGTTATCTTCTTTCTATGCCTTGAGGTTTTAGATGTTGAGAAGATGAGTCCTCCGATCGCCAAGACCAAGACCTACCGTGTCCTTGTGAACATTACTTCATGCATTCTAGACCAATTTCTTATCATTATTAGTGATCGTTTTGTGTGCATTTATGTCAGTATTAATCGAAATTCTCTAGAATATTAATTGAAAAGAAATGACAGTATAGCGCCGTGTGCATTTATGTCAAAAAATTAAAATACAGATTCCCGTATTTATACATAAATACATTTATATAATATCATTAATTAATCCATTAAAATTAACAGCTTTATATCGAATGAGTGAAAAATAAACATAAAATGACTCATACATAATTGACTAATGAAGAATTGGAAAACATTGTTACATTGATATAATTGATGATTACAGCGACATAATAAATAATTACATCACAAATTTGATGATTAAACACTCCCAACTTGGTAACTTGAAACCATAGAAAGGGAATCATACATTTATTATCATGTGGCGTCCCATTTTGATATCAATGTTTCTCATTTTGTCCATCATAAAGTTCTTGCTTCCTCCGTAGGTGTCAGTGGGATCCTCTCCAATTACACAGGAAGGAGTTGAACTCGTGAAGTCGATAGATGAAGGTCTCACTCCATTGAACGACCGAGATTGGAGGATTGCACATCCAACTTAAAACATCGATTGGAGAGGATCCTAATGTTACGTCTCGAGAAAGTCCATCCTACGTACGAGTGGCGGATGGCCGAAGCCTAAACCGCCTAAAGATAGCAGTAAATAAAGGCACGAGAAAAGAAATAAGGAAAGAAAGAAAGGGTTTAATTAACCCAAATAAATAAAGAAATAGGAAGGGGAAGCGGCCATTTCACCGAACACTTGTTAGACCTTCCCTTCTCTTTCGCTCCTCTTCGCCATTTCTATCTCCTCAACCATTTATCCTTCAGGTTTCTTTGCTCTCTCTCTCTCTCTCTCTCCTCTTCTCTTTCTTTTGTGTTCTGGTTCGGCCACGATTCTTCTCTTCCTCCTTCTCCATCCAATCTTGTAATGGTGACGGTTGCCCGCCTCTTTCGATCGTGCTTGTAGGGGGGCTAGGCCCCGCGGCTGCCCTCCCTCCTCCCCCTCCTCTGGTTGCCGCCCCTCCCGCGATTAAGAGATGGAGACCCCGTGGGACCGCCCTGCGCCGCGCGTGGCGGGAGAATGAGGGGCCGGCGCCGCGCCACCAACGGGAGCGGGGTGATGGATCTGGCCTTCGCGGAGACCCTGGCCGTCGCTCGCGCGTGCTTCATGCGGTCGGCCTACGGTCCCTCCTCCGTCTCGTTCGAGGCGTTCCCCGCAGTTCGCCGTCGCGGCCGGATCGTCCCGCGGCGGCTCTGATACCTTTCCCCTTCCCTCCCCTCCCTTGTTTCCTTCTTGATCTGTAGTGTTCGTCTCCAAGATTTAGTTGCTCTCTCTGTTCTTGTGGTCCTTGTTGTTGTTGTTGTGAATGGAACCGCTTTTCATAAACGGATTCCCCGGAAACTTGGGGATCGGTGGCAGCGGCGGCAGCACATTGGATACGGAGTGCGTCGAGATTGATCCCACCGGACGATATTTTCGTGTGAGTTCATCATCATTAGGTTGCATTTTTTATTGGCATGAGAATCGTTGTCAAGAACGACGTTTCTTGTCACCTGGAATTTCTGAGTTCATCATCATTAGTTGGGAGGACATGCTTTATTGGTTGGAGAATTGTTGTCGAGAAAGCACTGCTCATTGTAGTTGCATAAGAGTTCGTTTTGTCGATCCATCTAATTTGTCAATTTCGTGGCATTTTGTTTTTGCTAACTGTTCTTTTTATTGAATTTGAATCCACAGTCATGTTCTTGATTCTGTTTCAAGTGATTGCTATATTTAGTTTGATTTTATCCCATTTATAATTGCTTTTAGTACTGATATGAGAATTTTTATAGTTCGGGAACTCTAATTACAGTTTTGTTACTTTGGATGTGTCTCTTATTTGGTTTAATTGTTGCCTGGTGCTGCAGTACAAAGAGATTTTGGGCAGAGGAGCATTCAAGTCCGTGTAAGTATCAAAAGATTTGATCCTTCCTTTTCTTATGATAATCTTTTTATTTTGCTTCACCTGGAAAATTTAAAGCATTGTTGATGTGTATGAATCATCTAGATTTATGTTCCGTTGGTGCCGTGTAGTTATAAAGCATTCGATGAGGTTGATGGGATAGAAGTTGCATGGAATCAAGTTAGAATTAACGAGGTGCTGCAATCTGCTGACAACCTTGAACGGTTGTATTCTGAGGTTCACCTGCTGAAGTCCTTGAATCATGAAAACATCATCAAATTTTACACCTCATGGGTTGATGATCAAAACAAGACCATCAACATCATTACTGAGCTATTCACTTCTGGAAGTCTGAGGCAGTAGGTTTTTCTGGTCTACTGTCTGTCGCTTGGCTTGCTTGGTTAGAAATTAGAATACCCTTTTTAAGTGGATTTGGTCTTTGAACTTGTAGATACCGTAAAAAGCATAAACATGTGGACATGAAGGCAATAAAAAGCTGGGCAAGGCAAATCCTTCGAGGTCTAGAGTACCTCCATGGTCACAAACCTCCTATTCTTCATAGAGATCTGAAATGTGACAACATTTTTGTGAATGGCAACCATGGAGAAGTTAAAATTGGTGACCTTGGGTTGGCCGTTGTCATGCTACAGCCCACCGCTCGAAGCGTTATCGGTAAGAAAAGAGCTTCTCTGTTTTTTTTTCTTCTTTTTGTTCTTACTAACAAAACTGCTTTCTTTACTTCTCGGGGCACAATGGCATAGGAGATCTCTAATAATGAAAAATTCAATTCTCAAGTAGTTCTCATAAGTTAGTCCGAATGATGACTTATCCGTCCATCATAAAAACACAACGGGCAGTTATCCTGATTATCACTTATCCAAGACTCTTCTATTATTGGTGTTATAGTAAATAAGTTGTAATTATCTCCTATCTAATCTTGTCGTTGTCGCCCATGTTTCTTATATCGTCATGTACTGATCTCTTGATGTTACAGTTGGTAACTTGTCATATTGATTGCATTGGATGTTCACATTCTTTTGTTTGGTAACTGAATTTTGTTTAATGCTCTCCACTTGTAGGTACTCCTGAGTTTATGGCCCCAGAGCTCTATGAGGAGGAGTACAATGAATTAGTTGACATTTATTCTTTTGGTATGTGCATGTTGGAGATGATTACGCTTGAATATCCATACAGTGAATGCAAGAATCCAGCTCAGATTTACAAGAAAGTCATGTCGGTAAGTTGCTTACAATAAGAGGCATATTTGTCCTACTAGTTGTGAAAGTGTCTTCTTTCCCCACTTTCTGTTTTACCAAGAACCATTTCTTTTGCAATACTGTAGGGGATAAAGCCTGCTGCTCTTGCTAAAGTAACGGATCCTCAAGTACGCCATCTTATTGAAAAATGCTTAGTTTCTGCTTCAGAGAGGTCGCCTGCCAAGGAGCTCTTGAAAGATCCATTTCTTCAAAATAATAGCATCAAGGAACCTCTTCCAGACCATGTTCAGCCTTCCAGCAGTATCTTTAATATGATGAATCTATCTTCAAGTCCTCTATCCATGGACATTGACTCTGATTACAAACCACTTCCAACTAGTACTGGCACCGAGAATAGTAATTTAACAGCGGTTACGCCTGCATTGGAATTCCAAAGAACTAATAGAAATAATGAATTTAGACTGAAAGGAGAGAAAAATGATGACAATTCTGTGTCGCTAGTTTTGCGTATAGCTGACACTTACGGTGGGTAAAGTTGCACGGTCTTGACATTAAGTTCATTGAAACTACTCTGTTGTCATTTATTCATCTCCTGCCCATCACTGATGCAGGTCGAGTGAGGAATATCCATTTCCTGTTCTACTTGGATTCGGATACGGCACTCGCAGTCGCTGCAGAAATGGTGGAGCAACTAGATCTATCTGATTACGATGTCGTCTTTATAGCTGATTTTATTGATTTCTTGATCATGAAACTCATACCTGGTTGGAGACCTGCTGCTGATCACTGTTCCAGCGAGAACTTGAGCCAAAGCAAGGAATACGGAGCTTATGACAATACTGAACTTTTATCCGAGTTATCTCCACAATCTAGTGTTTATTTCGAGGTAGGTTATGAGCATGCTGATTTATCTCAGTTGAACTTAGGAGCCACAGTACTGGAAACTGCAGAAAATGATGATGGCACATCATATAAGAAGATGGATGAGGCAATTTCACCTGTCAATTATGATTCTGTTTGGAGTGGGGTTAATGGGGCAGACAAGGTTTCTCAAAGGTCGGCCACTTCAGTTATGTTTGTTGGGAGTTCCAAAAGCTTCAGTGGGTATAACACTGATGTCGATTCCAAAGGAGACAGGGGTGCTTGTGATGTTGTCGACGGACTCTCTCTGAAGGACTCTTCGACACCCTCCCTAACCGACAAAGATCATAATGAGTTGAGGGCGGAGCTTGGCATGATTGAATATCAATACCAGCGCTGGTTTTATGAGCTATCGGCAATGCGAGAGGACGCATTGCAGAATGCCAGAAAGAGGTGGTCCACAAGGAAGAGTGGGGTTTAATTGTATCCTTCTCTTCCTTTTACATCTCAAAATGTTCTCTTTGATCATTTTGTCTCTTTCTTTTTCTTTTTTTTGGTCATCATATGGATTTTTTTTATTGTTTGTCGGGTAACCTTGTGGAATGTTCATTTTATTTTAAGTTAAAATATAGTGTGTAAGTGTATCATCCTCCATGAATTTTTGATGAACAGATTGAGCATAAATGCTTGAGGTTTCAAATATGATTCTCCAGATCGTATTGAGCATAAACTGCTTTGAGAAGTTTGCTCTTTTGAATTTTAATGTCTCAGGATCTTCCAATTCTCCTGTATTTGTTGTTCAACCCCAAAACTAGCTTTAAATAAAAAGCAAAACGACAAGGTGTTGTGAGATGTAAATGGTTTCTTTCAGTCATGACGGTGTTGTGAGAGCGGTTGTTGCCATAGCCAGTGCTCCCTCGTAGGTTTGATTTACACCAATGAATCCACTGATATGGACAAAGAGGCAACCAGGGATGCCGGACCTCTCCGACAGCTCATCGTCCATCAAGCCCCTCCAGCACTGTGGAAGAGGCTGTCGGCTCTCGAACATTTCCGGAGAAATCGCGACGGCATGCACACGCCAGTTCTTGCTCCTCTCATCCTGCCATCCAAAGTTACAGCACCAACATGTTATTATGTCATTAAAAGATACAGAGAGAAAACCTGACAATATGTTGACATGAGATAACTATGTCAATGAACAAAAAAAAAAAAAACTGGTTGTAGTACACCTGAAGTTTTGTCAATCGATAATAGCAAAGAGATGCATGATTTATCAAAATTTGTATGGCTTGTACCAATCCTCTTTAACTTGAATATCAAAATTTTACATACATCAAATGATAAAAAGAGAGGTGTTTAAATGCATCATCAAATAGAACTCAAGCCATACTAGAGTGAGTAGAGATCAAGTATTACATTGCAATACTTTTTTTTTTAATATTTTGGCCAAGAAATGGAATCCTCAGGCATGTCCATCTAATAGAGATTTAAGGGAGTTCAACGAAGGTCGTCTCCTAAAAGGCTGTAACGTTATTACATACAAAAATATGAAGCTAGAATCCTAGGCTGTACATTAAAAACAAATTCATTCAGCTCCATGCAATGTATCTATTCACGGCACACCACAACGTCTTGATATCTCTAAGTATATTACATCTCCCTCCCACAGGGATAGCATGAGTACCAAGATCATACCTGATAAATAACATACTTGATGGGAGGATTTATTTTCAGTTCCTTTTCAAGCTCAAATAGATGATGTTTCCACTGCAACAATAGATTTAAAACACGTTATATAGAAACTCAATCAGGAGAATGAACCTATGTATTCAGGATTTATCAAACAACAGTTCATTAAGAAAAGGTACATACAAATAACTAAACAGCATGATGGTTAACTGATGACAAGTTCATGATGATAATGTTGCAAATTAATTGACCATAAAAAACAAATTCTTAGCGAACAAGTAAATGCAATGACTTCCAAACTGGCCAAAAATAAAAAAAGAGAACCAAAACTGACAGAACATGTAAATCAGATACAAATGCAACTAGCGCTGCTACCACTAAGACAAAAAAAAAAAGGAAAAAGATGAACAAACTTACAGGGCAAAATCTATCCAAAACAATAATTTCCCCGCTGGGATCTACATTTCCTCTCGAGGTTAGACATTTATTAATAATGGATCTTGCAGGTAACCAGGATCTAGCATGAAACCTCACACACTGTCCACAGAAGAACAAGATTAGAATAACATTATATATTCTATATGGTGAGAAAGATTATCGCAGAATTTAAGAAATCCATAACTAGCATGTAAAACAGAAGGACTTGGATAGGGGGGAAAGGTGCACATGAAAAGGAGAAGACCTCCAAAAATTCACCACCAGCAAGCATCATTGCCTGCTGAAAAGCTGCATTCTCCTCCTCAGATGAGTGATCAGAATCTACCCACTCAAGATTCAGACTACCAACTCTTGAAGAAAGATGTGTGTTATTTACATATTTTGGAGGCTGGTCAGTGTCATATTGATTGATCCCATTATCAATGGCGTCAATTGCCTGTTAAACAAAGGCAATAAGAATTAGAAACTACTTTTTCATGAGTGAATACAAGCAAATATGAGAAAATGATCACAAGACACAAGTAAACTTCAAAGATACCTGCCAGATAGGAAACAGAAATTCCTCTAAATCAAAGCTCATTAACACTTGCATTCCAGCAATGAATATCTATATGAATCACATGTATTCATCAAATTTTGAATACTTTCCGGTATATGGTCAGCATCACCAAAGGCATATCATTACTTTATGTGCCTCTAGAAATTAATTGTCACTCTCTGATCAATATGGATGAACTTATAAATGATGATTGATGGATTGGATGTAGACCCATATCTAAGTTCAGTCTAGTTACTCTTTCTATAGCATTCTCATATGGTGGGACATTAGTGGCACAAGTAATAATTGAATAAAAAATATACCATCTTTCCCAAATTTATGTATCAAGATTTATTTCCCATTAAGTAGAAAATAAAACCTAATATCCTTTATAAAATAATGAGGATCTCATGTTTTAAATTATTGTATTGGCTCCAAAATCATGTAACAATGTTGCCTACACAAAGGATTTTCATGTGTACTCAAACTCTTATCTTGTTAGAAGTAACGACAAGTGCTTTAAAAAATGCAAATTTCATCCCTTAAAAGTCGCTCACAACCTAACCTATGGAGGTAGGGCCTACCTTAAAAGAATCAGAACAAAGATCAAATGAACAATTCAGTCAAAAGGAGGTATTTAATGTAATGTCCAGAAATAACATTCACAACAAAAAAAGAAAGTATTACATTTGCAAACTAATTAAAGTATATGCATCAATCAAATATATCCTCATAAAAGAGAAAAACCACATGCAGACATATCCCCATATCAAATATCAGAGAGCAAGAGCACAACAGGCATGTTGCAGGCAAAAAAACATGCACACAAAATGCGCACATGAAGGTCTCCCTTTTCATTCATGTAGGTAAATAGGTAGCACCTATAATTGGCTCAAAGAGGAACCAACCACCTATATTTTCATAGCAAACCAAGGTGTACCATAGTTAAATGTGTAAAAGAGGCCAGTCAGAAAAATGTGTAAATTTTGTGGTACCTCAATGAAGTTTTTATACACAGCAAGATATACACATTGCACGTTTTCGTGTTCAACATCAAGCTGAAGCTCCTTTGCAATTATTTCCTTGCCATAATGCTGCAAAAAAGGTTCAATACATTCATAATTGTATTATAAAATAATTATTGGCTCCCCAGATGCAGGGTTAAGGTTGTGTATATTCCCTATACCCAACGTGGGTGGGAAACCTATGCACTATAATCATTTTTATTAGCAAACTATTGACACGATAAAATATAATATGGTGTCCCATTTTCATCGTAACAATAAATCAAAAGCCTGTAACTCCAAACTGGGTTCTGAAATGTAACAAATCCAAACGAGCAAAACAAACAAAATAAACTTTGCTATATTAGTTCTTGAATTTCTCTTTTGTACATCAGTATTAGAGTAAATTTGGAGCTCAGTGGCATTCATATTTCATACATGGTAATTAAAAAAATATCAATCTGGTTAAAAGTTCAAATTTTGAAGCCTAAAAACAGTCAAGTCGCAGTCTGCAACAAATATACTAGCAAGTTTCTTTTGCATTCATATTTTTATGTTCGTTAAAAAATCCCATGATCTTATCGGTCCTGAGTCACAGCCTCATACTTTGTCCAACTATATATTAATTATAAACAACAATGAGCACTTATGGACGACTTGATGTTTCCAGGTAGAGGTTTCTTACTGAATGTTGTGCCAATGACAGCCGACAAAGATTCATATTGATGTGAGTGTATCTGGCAATATAGTACAGTAAATGTATTTGCAACTAGCAAGATGTTTTCTTATGTGTTCTTTCCTATCCAGTTATTATTTCTCATACATAAATAACCAGTTACTGTTTGCAAATAGGTTCTTCCTTCAGTAAACTTGCATCATGAATCTGAGCCGAGCACTAAAAAATAAGGGATACTACTCTAATTACTTATTAACTATAAACTGTCTATATAAAAAAATGAACTAATAATTAATAGCATCAGTAATCGTGTTATCAGACCATGTATCATCTTTTCAAGATTTTTGCCACACTGGTGTACACATATCATGTCCGTAGTCATGCAAAGAGAGATACTACTAAGAAAGTACTCATTATTAAATTCTTCTTCCTTTTCAGGATCTGACATAATCAGTTTTTCCCCATCTATGTCAGCTAATCATCTATCATTTGCAAAAACTCAGTACAGAAGAAAGTCATGGTACAATGGCGATTAGAAGTCCAACTATAAAGGAACCCACATCATAAAGAGTTGTATTTTAAGTATTTTTCTTCGAAAAGTTAAATGAATACCCAAATATAAACGGTAGAAGATTCTTAAGTATTGCCTAAAAATATTGAGTTCCTTGAGTTACTTTTTTTCATTGGTGTACACAGACAAATTAGTACAAATAAAGTGTATTACCTTATAGACAAGTCCAGCACTACTGAGCTTGGTGCTGAAAGCATGACCGAAAACCTCACTAAATCCTTTTTGGTGATGATCATATCGTTCTTGAGTAGGATCATAAACACCACCAGCATCGAGCACTGCATCTAAATTTTCAAGTTGCTGCACATTGTTATTCCGAAAATGATCAAAACATACGAACGAAATTGGCAATTTCTGCATTGTTATTTGGAAAACAATCAAAACACATTTATCAAAATTGACAAATAAAACTTTCAAGCCTATGAAGTTCATGATAAAAAGTTTGTGGCAAATACAAGGTACGGATACGTTAATATTGTTTGGTATAGATAAAGATGAATGCATACATATATGAGCATTTGTATTAGCATGAGTTTCAGTAACTTTCCTAAAGCTAGTACAGTCATATGTTTCCATGTGACTCGATTCCAAACCCTGAATCATCAACCCAAGGCATGAACAGAGCCTAGCCTTATCTGAGACAAGGCCATGGTTCAGGTCAGGACAGTTTTGTACAATCCTTGATCGTCTCAGTCAAGCAGAATTCAGAGCAAAGGAGTCCGTTCCAGCATGGCAACCAGTTTAGCATAGCAATCTCTAGGAGGATTCATATTTGGCTTCGGAAAGCAAAAGAGAGCATATTGCTCGATCCTGGTTGGAATAAAAGTAGAGAGATCATTATGACTTGCCTGGTCAAGTTAGAAAAGGAGAGGACCGATCAAACCTTCTCACCAGATCCCAAAAAGTTACATATTAGAATTTTTATTATTATATGACTTTGGAATAGATTTTCATTCTTACCTCTGGTACCTATTTTGGTGGATCAAAAGATACCTAATTTAGCTCTAATTAGTGTCATATACCCCATTATAGGTAAAGAGTTATGTAAGTGATATTATTATCATAGTTTAGATTTCAAAGTTCTAGATGTTTCTTTTAGTGGAATTTAGTCAGGTAAGGAGACTAATTTGATGGCTCACTGTTGCTTATTGGATGATGAGATTAACTTCTCTTTCACAACATTAAAGCATAAGTATGACTGACCCACAGGTATTTCCAAACAAAGTCTTTCTATAAAAATGTGAAAAGAGGACTTCTTTAAACAAGTTTCATCATAAGTAGTTTCTCCGAATGTACTGCTTAAGAATCATTTGAGAAAAAGAAACATTTTAACAAAGAAGGCACACATCCAGGTGCTTAAAAATTGCATTAAAGATAAAATATATTTAGCATGTGTAAATGAAAATTAAGTGCAAACATTTCCAATAATTCATAAGTTCTCAAAAAACACGTGATCACACATTCCCTAGAAATATAATGGCCAAAGAAGAGCCAGACATTAAAATTTCACATGAAACTAGAATGCAGGTTAACACAGAGTTAAAAATCTGGATCTTCGAGTACAACTATCAATTTCCAAGAACATTACCAAATTTAACATTTCAATTTAATGTACAAAGAAGGATCAAGACACAAACTGTCAGACATTTGTCCTCCAAGAAACTATGAATCATGGTTAAATAGCTCAAGAATCACCCTTTACTTTTCCAGTACACATAACAATCTCCATCAAACACCTGATATAAACACACTCCATATAAAGATAATGACCAAATAAGAGCCAGATGTTGAAATTTCATACCACACCAGAATGCAACTTAACACAGAGCAAAGAAAAAAAAGGGGATCCTCGGGCACAAGTATCAATTTACAATAACATTACTAAATTTAGCATTCCGTTTCGATGTACAAAGTAGTATCAAGATACAAACAGCACAGGTTTGCCCTCCAAGAAACTACGAATCATGGTGAAATAGACAACAAGTCAATCAAGAATCAGTGTTTTTTTTACTTTGATCCACGATGACTCATCAGTACACGTATTAATCTCGATAGAACCCTACCTACAAGACAAACTAGCCTATCTTCTTGTCTTACTTCCTTTTTACCCACTTCCATTTCACAAGAAATACATTTTCTTGACAGAAAACGTAAGGATGATGGCAACCCAATCATTTTCGACCTTTTCTTGGGACTAGTTCTCAGAATTTATGGGCGAGGAGCTATTCGGGGGCATCAGTTCTTCCTAAAGCAAATAAGTAGATGAAAAGGAAAGGAAAACAAGAAGAGCGCACCTGAGGGTCTCTCGTTCGGACGATCTCGGCGCCAGAGAACTTGCTGGTGAGGCGGATCATGAAGCAGCCGAGTGCCTCGTCGCAGTGGAAGCTGCCGTTGTGGGTGCCGACCCTCTTGGATCCCGGGCCGGGGGAAGCGGTGGAGAAGGCCGGAGGCGCCCTGGGATTCCTCGGAGCAGCTACGGGAGAGGCGCAATAGGTTCGGCACCACGACACCACCGGCTGCCGCCGCCACCACCACCCCCGGATCGTCGACATAGCGCAGCCGCTTCTCGTCTGGGGACGGGATTTGAACCGCTCAAGACACACAGTGTTCAGCCCAAGCGTCGGAACGGGCTAAAAGGACCGGTCTGCGTTTTGTGGGTTCTTTTTGGGGTTTCATAATCAGACCGGTGATCTGGCTGAACCGGCCACCGAAAGAGACGGCCAAACGGCACGCAAAGTTACACAGACAGATAGACGGTTTACCTGATCGATGATTAGTTATCTTGATGACCCCATATGTGGGTCCTACGTTTTGGTCATTGGCAACTCTGGGTGTAAATAAATTTTGAAATAGACGCATCTTTGAGCGTTCTTTTAGATTCGTGAACAAAGGTAACAGACCGAATCACGGGGTCATGCTCTCATCTAACACACAAACGGAGCCACTCTTCATCTGCTCGAGTATACTGACAGGTAGAACGAAGTGTCGTACGTTACCTCACGCTTCTGCCTTCCTACGATTCGAGGAAGCCCGTCTTCCGCAGCACGGCATTCCTCACCCGCCGGAGATCCCTCACTCTGATTGTCCTTCCGACTCATTCGAATACCGTGCACGTCGTCGCGCGCGACCTCGCCACCATCACGTGCGGTGGCACCATCTCCTCTTCTTCCGCGTCCCCTGATTCTGCCTCTTCCTCCGAACCATCCGAGACCTCGGCTTTCCACCCTCTCCTCCACCGCGGCCACGCCGGGATGTTCACCGGCGCCGACTGGTTGCGACCCACCCTGCTAGCCCCTGAAGTGTAGCCTGCGTTCCCCGCCGCCACGGGCCACGTGGCTGTCGCAGCAACCGGCCGCACGGCTCTCGCCGCCGAGCGTCGCTGATGCACCAAGGGAAGCAGGTCCTCCGCGAGGGCCGCGGTGAGGCCGGGCCTTTCCGGCGCGAACGGGAGGCTGAGGAGGTCGGAAGGAGAGGAGGGGAGCGGGAGACGAGAGCTTTGGGCGGGAGTGGGAGAGGGGAGGCTGTTGACGAGACCATGGCCGTCGCTGGCGATGGCGGACGGGGGGGCGGAGAAGATGTCGTCGGAGGCGGAGGACCAGAGGACATCACTCTCGTTGAGCTCGAGGTGGTGAGCTGGGAAGGGGACCGGACCGTAGTCGGGCTGGCCGAGAAGGCGTTGGCGGCGGAGGGAGGAGGTGACGGGCTCGCGCAGCGCGGAGGGCGGCTGCGCATCAGCGAAGGGGTCGTCGTCGTCGTCGTCGTTTCCCATGGCGATCGTGTAGGCCTCCCTCTCTGCGGCGCCTCTTATAACGAGCTATATGGCATGGCGTTTGTCACGTTATGTCGGTCCGGAGGAGCGGCGGAAGCGCGACACTCATAGGAATCTGGTGAGGATTGGTTTCTCCCGTGAGGGGGGACGAGATTGGCTCTTCATCTCCATTTCACCAAACAGCATCTTCGTGGGGTAGACGCGGTGGGGCCTCCCCAAAAATGACAAGCCCTCCGGACCTCAGAACTCACCATTCCTTGTTTGGCGTCGGGAGCGAGACACAATGGGCAGAGGATGGGGGATGGCTTCGTTGTTTATTCCCAAAAAAGGTTCAGCTTGCCCTACCAACCACCCCAGTGGCCGTTACAAGGTTAACCTAGTACCCAACTCGTATCACAAAGCTAGCGTTTGATGTTACGACTCAAGGCACGACCTAAAATCCCGCAACACATGTAACAAATAATATCTACTCATGTTTAAGTAAATAAAACGATAATTGATTTATTAATCATTGTCGATTGAATGGCGGAATTCGACTGAGAATGATTCAATTCTTGATCGTTTCAGTTGGATCAGTTAGTCGTATCCGATTCTGTCAAGTATGCGTTTCTCGTCAAAAACCATAGACAATCCATCAGATAAATGGTCTAAATCATCAAAATCAATTCATTGAATCATTGATAGCACAACATGATGATCCCACTTGAGTGACTCCAATGTGGGGATTTAGCTGTTTTTGCCAAAGATGGCACATTGTGTCTGCTTGGTTGAAGCAACTGTTAATGCCTCTCCTAAGCAAATACACAGTCGAGTTCAATTACAACAGTGCAAATGATCAAACTATGAAGATGGTACTAAAGAAGAGAAAGGAGTGTCATTGGATCTTGTCATGAAGGGTCACCACCAAGTCATGGGCATCATCCAAAAGCTTCCACACATCCAACTGCCCCGCCATGCTGTTGCACTCTCTCATGATTTCATCCATGCTGCTATACCTCTGAATGATTAACTTCCTCCTCTGCAGCACCGAGGCGGCGATGGCATAGAGCAACAGGTCATCAGTGGGCGGAGCACGTAGCCGAATCCTCCCCCATGCAGACTTCCCAATGCCTGCTCGAATTGCCGCCTGATCTGCCCACATCACCTCCCACAGGCAGAGAGACTGCTCAAAGGTGAGCTCTCTTCGGAAGACAACTACCACCATTCTGTACACGAAGAAGCAGTCTTCAGCCTGAAGCTTCTCCAAGTGCCTGTAAAGGTGGCGATCCTTGGACTTGATGATCTTGGAGACGATGTTCAATTGTCTCTGGATGCCTGCCTCATCAAGCCTGAAATTATGTCTGGCTTTCTTCATAAACCCTACGAAGCACCAAAAAGCCTCATGATCCTCCTCCATGACAGCGAGTATCGGAGATAGAAGGTCGCTCATTCCTTGGCAGTATCCGACTTCAGGATCATACAGTGCATACGCCTCGAGTACGGCAACCAGCCGTGCAGCATGGAAGATTCTGCACGGCTCCAAGTGGTCATAGTCCTTCAAACCAACAGCGACAGCAAACTTGATAGCCTCGTCCATGGAGACCGCAGCTCGAGCTGGAGAGTAGACTACCCACTCGCCATTAGCTCGGATCGCGTCTAACCGCATGATACGTTGCCATGTTGTGAAATCCTCAGCAGTTTGATCAGAATTAGTAATATTCCCCAAGACTGAAGCAATCTTGGTAAGTTTAGGATCAGTTTCAATAACTCCTTCTGCGGTGGAAGACATCATAATGCATTCAGGAGGTTCTTCATCAGTTGATTCACTGTCAGATGATTCTGTTACATCTGCAGATGCGTCCACATTAGTGATTGGGCTCTTGTCATCTTCTTCCAGTAGAACCAAGTTGGAGGAAGATGCTTCCTCATGCACTGTTTCCTCCAAAGTTCCATTGAGCGGGCTTTCTTGCTCAATGGAGAGGGATTCTCTGGAACTTAGAATCTCTTCGGTGCAAAGGGAATAACATCCCTGTACAAAACTAGGACTGTCCGTATAACTCATTTCAAAAATTTCATTCCACTCATTGTCACCATCATTGTGGGGATTTAGCAATTGCCAACACTGTCGTCTTAAATTCTCATATTCTTTCCTGTAACAGAAGTGCAAAAAAGCAATATGTGAGCCAATTCTAAAGCTGGCACGTAAAGTGCTTTTTTTCTTTGATATCATAGATCACCTTACATTCATATGCAAGTCAAACTTTGACTCAATAAAGACAAGATGAACACTTGGAAAAAAGAATTCTCCACCAAACTCATTAACATTATCTTGCAATGTACTAAAATCAAGGAAATAGAGAGCAAAAGAGCAAACAGTCCCAAGTACCTCTTTTGTGAATGAATGGCGTTTCTTTCAGCCTTTGAGCTCTTAAAGTCATAGCTGCACAACAAAATAATGAGGTCAAAATCAATGTAAGCATTCTATCAGATCCACAATAAGAAAGATGACACTAATCTAGCCCTTAAGTGGGTATATCAACTAATGATTTATAAATGCCTCAATATCACACATTACATTAAGAAATCAAAATTATCACGACTTCCCTTTGGTACACTTAGTTTTGCCTTTATACCATAACACCACCAACTTATGCAGCTTTTATGTATAAATCCATTAGCATTCACAAAAACACCAGAAAATTTTATCGCAGGCTTGTGTCATGACTGAGCTCGATGGAACTACTGATTAATAACTTGGAAACCCTAAAATCACATGGCTCAAAATGTTTTAAGTCTAAGTTAGTGATAGTAACTTATATTCTGATAAATATAGTCTTGTAACATGGATTTTATGGAGATTGTTCTATGTAAATCATATATCAAATCTCAGCATCAACTTGGCTAAAACCATACGATAGCCAACATTTTCATCAATTACAAACTTGGTTATATTGATGTTGGACGCACTTTGAAGTCTACAATATGCCATAGAACAATTCAAGTGACTACTTAGTTGAATCAGATTAATCCAAGCAAATGGATAGTGTAAAATCAGCAACATGACAAGATGTGCTAATAAATTGAGAGACAACTTGTACTAAAAGTTCAGTAGTTGTGGCAATGCATGTCCAGAGCTATGTCAAGTTCTGAGCTAAGATATAAAATCCAGATATGGACCACATTACTTGGTTACCTCTGACAAGTTTACAAGAAGACAATTATGTAGCAATGTTCATATATGAAATAACTTAGTGTAAATAATGAGCAAATTCGGGAGTAATATGATTTCTCCTGTCATACAACAAACAGTTTTAGAAGCAATATGTAGAAACATTTTGAAAAAGATGGTTTAGAGTCTCACACTCCAAGAAGGAAAGGCCAGACTTCAGCCCTGATGCTTGGGTCAATTCCCTAAACCGTATGTAAAACAGTCACTTTGCTGGAACAATGTCAAAACAGACAAATAAAATGTGATCAGAAAAAGAGAAAAGATAGTGCTTACTGCTCTGCGGACTTTCTTTAGAAATTTCTCCCCTCCATCACGGAGCTTTCCATCTAATGTAAAAAAATTGTTCCATTGATGCCTAGTAAGTGCATGTTTCCTTTTCCTTCGAGACCATGGTGATCTAAGGCTGCCTCTGGAATCAGGTACCATTAAAGAATGAAGAAGTTTAACAAAATAGCGTTATAAGATGGTCAAGATACTACCACTCACAAATGAAGGTGATTTGGTGGGTTTTAAAAAACAGCCAAATATAGGATTAAGATGTAAAAGCCATGAATTAAACATGACTGTAAGCCATGGTCAACACCTTCGCTTCCCATAGCAGACATTCATCAATCACTTAAAGAAATTTAGCAGTAGGATCTAGAACTAGCCAGCTACACTTTTGGGTTCCTTCTTTTAAGTAAATTTGGTTTGCTTACAAATCAAAGATCAGGTCAGAAAAGGTTCACAAAATGCCATATAATTTGTCCAAATAAATCAGCCTTCTTAATTTCAAAAAGTGCTCTATATCTGAACCTACAGTGGAAAAAAAAGGGCATCAGTGCTGTTGATAAACTGCAATTAAAAGGTGAATGCAGAAAGAAAACTATTATGATGTTTAAATAGTTTGATGCACCAGGACCCACCAAATCTGAATGTAGAAGGAAAACCATGATGTTCTTGAAATAGACATCTTCTCTCTCACTAGAGCCTACGCATGGCTGATGCTCACTTGGAAAGGCATGTGCCCCATATGAAACAGAAAGCAGACCATAAACCTCTTTCCCATCCCAATGTAACACAATAATTGCAATTGATTGCAATAAGATAATTTCTTGGCTGTTATCATAGTATTGAGTGGAAGAAATCCATCATGGATGCTTGTGTTGTGGCCTTTTTCTTGTATCTGCGTGTGTGGAGGTGCGTGTTTGTGAGATACAAAGAGCTGTGCAGTATCATGTATCATGAGAGCTAAAATCAAATCCTGGGAAGTACATTACCTAAAAGGACAAAGTCATGAAACTAGAGAATTTCATGTCAATACTTCTTTCATATAGACAAAAGAACAGCCAATCTAAGAACTTTCAAAGATATATCTACAAAATTCAAGAAGAAACAAGAATTAAGTTCAATTGAAAGAAAACCTGCTGGTACATGACACTAACGAAAATTAAGAATTGTCACATTGCATAATGGCCCACACCAGCCAATGGAAGATCAGTTCATACCATCGGCATGGTACGGACTACCACTGTACTAACACATGTATAAAAAAGAAAGGAATGCTGTTATCGTGTTATAGCAATTTGATAATATACTGTTTGAGATGATCTTATTCCGAAAGAGGAACATTTCAACATATCTTTAAAATGATTTAATCACAAAGAGGGAAAATTGCAAGGTCGGATATCAGATAGCGACAGAGGCTTATAACCAAGGAGATTTCAGAGAAGAACCGATATAGATAGTGAAAGAAGTTTCATCTGCCTCAGAGTTGAGTTCCTTGTCATAAAGTTGATTCTAGTTATGACTAGCACTCACTTGAGGAGGATTTAACAAGCCTTCTCATGATACGAGAAAGCGATGCTGTCCTTCTTTCAAATCCCTCGGTAAGTGGTACTAGAAATTGCATAAACTTTGTATTCCAACAGATGAGGCCAAAATTACTTTCCTAAACTCTGCTGGAAAAGGAATGAGGCATCAATCAGTGTGTACAACATACTGTAATCATTAATCAGTGATCAAAAACTGAAAAAGGAAAAGAAAACAAAACAGTAAATGTCATGTACAGGAACAAAACTAATTTGAAGTTTAAGTAATCAGACTCTTCGAGCTAATTATAAAGAAACAATACAACTTAAATGAAATTAACTGGCAAAAGGACATTTTGGCTCCTATTCCTCTTTTGCTTCTCTTGGTTTTACTGAAAATTTAAGGCAATTAGGCACAAAACAAAAACCAGCAGGGAAACAGAAGCGTCCTCACCGATCCGGAGCGGTTGAGGAGGCCACGATGAGCAGCGATCTCAAATGGATCCACGACGACGAACTCGGTGAGGACGAAGAAGTATGGGATCGTCGGATGGCGCTCATCTACAAGATCTCTCTCTCTCTCTCTCTCTCTCTCTCTCTCTCTCTCTCTCTCTCTCTCTCTCTCCTGTGCTTCTGGGAAGGGAACGGAAAGGGGGCGGCGCCTAAGGCTGTCTACCTACCGAGAGACGCCGAAAGTGGCGGCCAAGGCGAGTCCGGCCATGGCCGTCACGCCGACCGCTAGGACCTCATGCCACCACCCGCCACCGTCGGCAGCCCAGATCCATACTCTCCCGCCGTACCCCGCCCAGCCCCAAACCCACATCGATCGCTCGCCTCCGCCCCTCTCCCTCTCCGGTGACCCTCCGCCGCCTCTTTCAACCACCAGTCCCAACTGCTCTACTCTCGATACACACATATATCTAATATCGTACATAAAATATATATATATAATGTATACTTTCAATAATTATAATTATATATCATAATATATGAAAGAACAGTAGAAAGAGAGAGGAAATAATTAGTGATGATGGCGTGGGTGAAGTCTAGAAAGGATGGGTTTTAATTATATATATTTTTTATGTTAAAGGAGAGAGAGAGAGAGAGAGAGAGAGAGAAACATGTGTTGATGTCATGTGAAGTGCATATAATCTTGAAAGGGGATGTGTGTCTCTCTCTCTCTCTCTCTATATTTGTGAGATTTGCTCCTTCAACCATGTAATAATTAGGCGGTGAAGAAAAGTCAAATCAATCCAAGAAAAATAATTAATGCAACTCATTCACACACAAAATAATTTTCTCTCAAGTCACATAATAATAGCATGAGCATAATATAAGATTAGGATAAGATTCTGATGGATCAAATCATGCAGACTAATATTTCGATTCAATTCGAGTGGGCCATCTTTCGATGAAACCAATGTGGGTACCACCACACTTATTCAAGTCACGTGTCATCATTAAACCGCTTGACCCAAATTAAGATAAATAACTCTCTCTTTTTTTCCTTCTCTATTTATGAAACATGATATTGAATTGCTTTCAATAGGATGACAAGCAATGTCTGCAGATGGACGGTTGACCCAATCAAATGCCAAGGACTTAGTCATACCCGGCCGATTCAATTTGTTGACTTATAGTCCTCTATCGATCCATCTATTCAATAGTATTTTAATTCTTATAGTTTCATTTTAAGAATGAACATATTACCTAAAAAAAATCTTTTTTTTCGCTTACCGCCTCGATTTTTAATAATATCAATTATGTCATAAACTTGATTTTTTTAATTAAAAAAATGAGAAACATTTGGTAGGAAATTGTGGTGTTCTGTGAGTTATAAAAAAAAAGAAAAGAAAATGTTTTTTTTATGAATAATTCACCCTTTAAAATTTGAACCTAACAAATGTCACATTTATGAAGTAATGGAGGGGCCAATATATTGGTGTGAGTTTATATTGATAGTCAACTAACCAATATTGGCTAGTAAATTATTTTCATACAAATAAATGTCTTTCTGTTCTTGATGACAGTATTTTGATACTTTCATCAAAATATTATAATTGAGGTAAATTAACTTAAACACAACAATAATCATCATCTCATATATAAAGTATATGATTTCAAATTACTATCTTTATTCCTTTAGGAACAATAACAATAACAATAAAATAAGAAGAATTTTATAGCAATTACAGTACTTTTATAACAATCAAATCAGATCGATTCACCCTATAGATTGATCTACCAAAAAACATGAGTTACTGTTTTCTATTGTTGAATTATTTTTAAAAATATAACAAAAAGAGGCCACCAATTGAAAAACATGAAAAAAAAGTAAAAAATAGAAGTTTTTATTGAGAATTCACCTCTCTCTCTCTCTCTCTCTCTCTCTNTCTCTCTCTCTCTCT